ATAGGATCACAAGTCCACATCTTGTACAGCAATTAACCACTAAGAAGAATATATGCAGTGTATTATTTGTTGAAAAATAAAAAAAAAAATAAAATAAAAAGTCATTCATACAGAAAATACAGAGAAAAGCTTGAAAAAGCATAAAAGAATCTGCTTTTTATTAAGCCTGCCAGTATTTTTCTTTTCAACTAGGCTTTTTCAAAGAAAAAAAAAATGATTCTAACTTTTTCTTCTACAAGCTCAGAACATTTTTGTCTTTTCAAGTAGAAAGAAAAAATTTTATGTTTCTATTAAGAAAAACAAATGAGGCCTCAGAGGCTCAGAGGATAAAGATGTGTATTTAGGACTGGCAATGACCGAAGCTTTTCACTTTATCATAGGTCCATCTTTTCCTTCTTACCTGAAATAATCTCTGAAATTCAGGATTTGGGATTTTGATAGTTGGAAACAAGTCTTTGATGGTGTCTTCCTCTTCATCTTTCTTTATTAAACTCAAGGAGTCGATGAGAGCATCAACAGCATTCAACTGTGCCTCTTAAGACAAAGCAAAAAGAAAAAGCGACCACTTCCATTACCCCTCACTAAAATGTTTTCCATTTATAGCACAGCAACACTGGCTCTGCTGAAAGTAACCTCTAATTATGCAAGAACTTAACCTGTGTCTTGGTTTCCTTTCTGTGAAAAGGGCTAATGAGTAGCTGATCTCCTAGGACCTTTTCTGCTCCACCGTTCAGTGAACCTTTGACAATGGAGTATCATAATACAAGCAAAGAATCTGGCCCAGAAAAATACACTAAAGCCAAACAAAACTCAACATCCCCAAGGAAATTCATATGAAATACTTAGTATTTAATGAGCTAATATTTTAAAAATTAGTAATCATCTGGAAGAAAAATATTAAAAAAGGAAAAAAAAAAGTCTAATAATGCAGTATCAGCTTTTTAAAGACTTACTATAATTTTTATTAGAGTCCAGAACCTTAACAGGAAGACACAGCTGGACCGCAGTGAGCTGCTTCCTTCACCAACTCCTGTCAGAATCAGCCTTTCCTCCTGCAAAGCCTCATGACACTGAGAATCCTGCCTATACACACATCTGGTACACCTGTTATCTTACTCTTCAAACTCTAATGGTCCATGATGGCAGAAACACAACTTCACCCTTTTTGTGTCTTTCCTAAAATCTAACAGAAGGCAAGTGCTCTGCAATAAAAACCAACAAAGTCAGCAAAAATGGTGCTGCTCAGAACACTGTGGATGGACGGCAACAGCCCAAAACGCTTCCAACCAAGCTGTCATGTGTAACTTTGATTCTGCTGATTTATAAACTGTTCAGCTGTTAAGCTGAAGCACTGTTTTTAGATTCAAAGCTTCCAAGCAAAAGGTGGTAAAGGGTAAGTAGTTTCCAAAAAGGTGTTTTTATGTTCCTATTTTTCACTTTTTCAGACATCCCTTTTATACAGCTCCAACAGAATAAAACACAGTATTCATCATGAGCTATTTCTTTCCCGTTTTTGAACTTTACTGCATAGGCTTCAGACAATGGCAAAGCTATCACCTTCTTAAGATAACCAGCACAGCATATACCCAGCAAGTGTTAGAAGTCGATCTCACACGCATGCACATTCTGTGATTCCCTCCTGCTGCCACCAGCTAGCACCAGGAAGAAGCATTCTGGTGGTATAAATCTCTACATAAACAGCAATTTGGGAAATATACCAAACAGCTTTTTTTTCCTTTATTTTTTTCAATCAATCTATCTATTTATTTAATACAGGATCTCGCTATGCAGCTTGGACTCATACTGATCCTGTCTCAGACTCCCCAGTAATGGGATTACAACCGTGAGCCCCCAGGCCCAACTTCAGTGGCCAACATAGCACACCCAGGGTTCTGGGGCTCGCATGACATGTGGTACCGAGGATTAAACCTGGGTCCTTGCGCTTACCAGCCAGGTGTTTAGACCCTGGAGCTATCTCCTCAACCCCAAACAGCTTTTAAGGATTTATTTTCCACTGGAGAATATGTAAAGATAAATATGTTAACTCCCTGAACATAGATCAACCAATCAAGAGACGCTAAGTTTTTTAGATCCTGAATTAGTTATATTTATAAGATACTTTCTCAACAAAGTTTCTTTTTAAAATATTCCACTCATTTAAAATCTAGAATGAGGGCCGGCCAAATAGCTCAGCAGATTAAAGTGCCTGTAAACAGGTGCAGGGGCAGGGGGTTTGATTCCTGAGCCTGCCTGTCTTGCCAGCCCTGCCCTGCTGGCCCCGCCCCCAGGGCATGCTGAGATGGCAATTGAGACTGGGCATGGCAATGCACACCTGTAATCCCAGCTCTTGGGAGGCTGTAAACAGGCGGATCACTATGAGTCTGATCTAGTAGTAAGACCCTGAACACCCTATAGACTCTTCCCTAAAAAAACAATAAAAATAAATAAAATCTAGAATGGTCAAGAAAGAAACAGAATATAACAGGTTGGCAACTTCTATATACTCAGGCCCATGCCTGACTCCATTGTGATACAGAGGAGTTCATCTCTGAAAGGAAGATAAGGCCAGGCATGGGGGTGCTTGCCTGTAACCTCAGCAATCCTACCACTTGGGAGGCTGACAGGAGGACTGCTCTGAATTCAAGGCCACACTGCATTCCAGAGCAAGACCCTATCTTAAAAGAAAAAATAAAAATTAAAACTTAAAAGGAAGGTAAGATACAGGCTCTGGGAACTCATTTTATTCTAGGCCTCTTTACAGCACACTGTTCCCAACACTGTTCCCAAAGGGTCTATCCAAAATAACACACAGGGAGGGCCCCATCTGTAGACTCACCTCACAATTCCCTAACCCTACACTGACAGATAACAGCTTTAAACATATACATTAAAACATTATCATCATTCATTGTTCTTTTCATTCTAACCCCCTGCTATATTTCATTACCACTGTCTTAAACAGTGAGCTCTCTGGGAGACAAGACCCATGGCTGTGAGAATCACTCAGTGTAACACTGACATTTGCAGCCAGATGCTTAATAACAACCTTTCTCATCAAGCATGGCATAACTCCTGCGAACTGGAAATAAATAACAAGTCTTGATTGCCTTCCTGTAAGCTACACAGGAAGGACAAGGAGAAAAGTTAATCTCTAGCAGAGCCTCCTTCATTCCAAAGTTACATCTGATTATCTGCAGGACCTACCGTCAAAGATTTGATAATGCCCCCAATCTACTTCAGCAGAGACAAACCTCCTACTTACAACTGGAGAATAAAGATCAGCAAGAACAAGCTGCTCCCTAGATCTATGCTCAAAGTCAGCAGGGGGTCGAGACAGTATCTGGAGAGCTCAGAGCAAACCTATCCTTACTAATGGAGAAAAAACCCAGTGACTGCCTTTACTCTCAGTAGGTAGGAGTGTTATGGTTGGAATCCAACTAACTCCGCTTCATGAAAGCCTGGCCCTGACTCATCACTGCAGCCAGCCGATTTCTCCAGAGCAGTTTACATGTAAAGCCATTAGTGAGCTGAACAGAAATAAACTCACCTGTGGGAGTGTATTTCTTATTATTTTTCAGGGATGAAAACATGTATTGCCGCAAGTCTTCCATGAAAGGCAGTTGCACATACACTAAACACTAATGGGAAAGAGAAGACATAAAAGCAGAAACAACCAAATTAATGGAAAAATATCAAAATGGTCCCAAATGGTGTGAAAGTGGCACAACAGAAATATTTCAAAAATTAACTCAAATTGAACATATGAAAAATAACTGTTTTGACTTTTGCTATTGACTTTAAAACTGCGTGTAGTATAGATATCACACATAAAAGAAATGCTTGAAATAAAGATTATTAAACGATAACTATAAAGTAAATGGCCAAGTAGAAGAAAGGAGAAAAGTCAGGCGGCCCAGAAGGCTGACCTGGAAGCCAAGGGATCTGCCTTCTTTTTACAGTTCTGCCATGGTAGGTTCTCTCAGAAACAGAAAATGTAAGGAATCTAGACCTGTATTTTAAATAGAAAAGCCCCAAATAAACTGAACTTCACAAGGATCACAACAAAATCACATCTTTAAACTTTATTCATAGTCTCTATTTGTTAAAATGGGGGCAGTTCTGTTCTCATTTGGTTCTGAGGAGTCAAGAAGGATGAGAACTGAGAGAGGGTCATGGTTCACCTTTACTGATTGAAAAAAAAGCTCCTTAAATACTTTTATAGTTCATAGTTCTCTTACAACTGGTACATGGTTCACAGAGGAGCAATGTCAACACCACTTGGGAGTTTGCAAGAAATACTGAATCTGCACCTCATCCTAGACCTGCAGAGTTAGAACCTGGGTTTTAACAACATCTCCAAGTAGTTCTCATGCACACTAACAGTTGAGATGTCTGGCTTAGAATAAAGGAGTAGAAGAAAAAAATGAATGAAAGAGACCTGTGGGTTTTACCTCATAGGTTTCCTTGATAAAAGGAAAAGCCACACCAACTTGGGGATTAGCTCTTCTATCATAGGCGTATCGAACTATGGCCACCATGTCTAACTCATCCAAAGCATGAATCAGGGAGGAAAGGGCGACTGCTGCTGCCTGTTAAGAAAAACGCACGTGTCAACACATGCCAAATAAGTGAGAATTTCCACAACTTTTAAAAGTATCACCTTTTTAAAAAAAAAAAAAAAAAAAAAAGTATCATCCTCTGTCATCCTATTTTAGATTTTTGTCAACTGTCCACTGCACAGGTTGTGGCTTTGATCCCCAGCACCACCAAAATAAATAAATAAAATGAAACGCTCTTTTACCCACGGCCAAACTGTACACTGAGTGCATTCTTTCTGGAACCTTACTGACTATATATCGCTTCAACCATCCTTCTACTCTGAATTCATATCTTCACCCTAGGAATTAACTCAATTCTCAGCTTCCCTAAACAAAATCTGTCGTCTTTGCTCCATAAATTACTACATATGTATCTTTTGTACTCTTCTCAAAATTTCATGAAAAAAGTCTTGCTATTGCCAATGCTTAGAACACAGCAATTCTTCGATCTAATCCAGCTCCCGCCCTCCTTCTTTACTGATGCCATCCTCTGGAGTCCCACAACTCCTCCATTCTCTGTCCTGGTTCCTCCTGCAGAGCTGGATGCACAGCAGCTGATGCCCATCCCCCTCTGCACATTTTCCTTCTCTGGCTTCAGAAGTAACACTCTCCCCTAACTATTCCATTGTGTGGACACTCCTTCCCTGTGCTTTTCTCTTCTTTAGATGATTCTTAAATTCTACTGCTTTCTGGCCTTTCTCTCCTATCACTCTAAAATTCTACCTGTGGATTTCCTAATCCAGTCCCATGAGTTCAAGAGTCAAAGAAATACATAGTCAGTTTTAAAGCTCTCCTAAGATCCAGACTTAGATTGCCTTTTTTCTATCTTTTATTTATTTTAGATGTAGACAGTGAATTTTAGAAAAATATTTCTGAAATGAATACATAACATGAGAGTAATAATACATTGTACATTGTAAAAAAGTTAATTTATAAAGTTAAATGCACATAACAATAAAAACTGTCTAAAATAAACATGAAAAAGAGCTTACAGATCAGTCATGTAATAGTCCACTCTGTCAAAATCAAGAAACTTATATTCATATAATTAGAATTCTCAAAGTAGAAGGGGGTAAGCAATATTTACAGATTTAAAATTTCTAAATTTAGTTAAAATTATAGCATCACATTTCCAAGAAAAATGAACCTTTTGCACAAGAAATATGAATAAAAGCATACCACAATACACAAAAATGAAATTTTTCAAAACTAATTGTGAAGGCAAAAGAACATTAAAGTATATACATAGAAAAAAAATTGGAAGAACAAAATTAAATAGCATCTTATTCCACATTAGAAAAAAAAAAAAAAAAAAACAGAGCAAGTGGGTAAGAAACTAGACTTATTTATTCAAAGGACTGAAAAAAAAGCTGTCCTCATTGATTTCTGTACTTAGCAAACATACATTTGAAAACTAAAAGTGAAATATTTTCCAGTTATACAATCTCAAAATATTCTAAACCCTCCAGATGTAGCATATAGAAAATAACAAAGGCCATAATCCAGAAGGCAAGAGAAGTTGCTGCATGGTCATGGATAAAGAATAAAGAGCTCTCAAATGGTAGTTATGCAGGACTATGTAACATATAATTATATTAGATGAACCCATCTAAAAGGTCATTGAAAATTTCCCCAAAACAGTATCAATCTTATGTCAGGTTATATACATATTTTTTCGTGTGTGTGTGTGCGTGTGTGTGTGTGTGTGTGTAGAAGACAAGGAAAAACTAATATAAAGTCAATGGAAAATAGAAATACACTTTTTAAGGTTTCTAATACTAGGACAAAATATCATACCATGTCTTATAAGTAGATTATAAGTCAAAGAAACAGTATAAATCATAAAATTAAAATTAAATACAGCCAGGGAGATAGCTCAGTGGAATAAGTTCTTGCCTGGCAAAAGAAAGGTCCTGAGTTCAATCCCTGGTACCACAAAAAAAAAGAAAAGAAAAGAAAGAAAAAGGGCTGGAGAGATGGCTCAGTGGTCTAAAGCACCTACTTAGAACAAGCTTAGCAAAAAGCATCAGGGACCGCGGTTCAATCCCCCAGCACCACATGCCAGCCAGCCCGCCCCCTGGTGGGCTGAGCTGGCCTCTCTC